TTTTAAAAAGATTGTTTTCATCTTTGTTTGAAGTCTTAAGTTTTAGTGTACCATGGCAACATAATTTATTCTTCTAGATGTTACAAGCTTTTGTTCGTAGTATTGCTAGTGATTTCTGTTTCTTTGAGTCTTCCCTCTTCTCCAAGACTCTTGTTTCTAGATCTGTTTCCTTCCAGTCATTTCCATGCCATGATTCGCAATTGCAATTATTCTTCTCACCAGCATCCTCAACTCCCAACGTCTTGTCATCACACCCACTTAACAAACCCCCAGCTTTGGATCAACTCCACTACATACTGCCTCTGATCTTATACCCAGGGTGCCAAGTGTGCTGAAGAAAATTACACACCTCTACAAACTGGGCAATGATAACATGGTAAGCAGGGTTGAGAAGGACAGAGGAAGGAAGTACAGGAGAGGGAGCCTATGAACACAAGTACTTAGCTTGGAAGCTATGGGCCTGGGCAGTTGTATGTTCTGTGAACAACAGCTTGCTTGGGGCTCTGTGCCCATGCTCTGTCACTTTATGGTATCCAATCACCACGTTGCCTTCAATGAAGATTGATCTTCCCATTATGTGTCTCTGGTCAGTCCCTACTCCCAGTGGCTGGTCCAACACCCCAACACTGTGCTTAAGTCTCCAGTAAACTCCATCTTACTCTCAGCTTCCTCTTTTCTAGAGTAAGGACAGGCCACCTTTATCTTTCTCTGTACTCATCCCTGGCTCTCCCACTCACTCCCTGGCCCAGAGGAGGCACATCCCTTGCATTGCATGACTCCAGCACCCAGGGCATTGTTCCCTGCAGTCGCCCTTTGTACCTGGCTCTATTGGTCATCCCTACTTTTTCCCACAGCTTCAATATCTCCCTCTTCCCCCGGGCAGCGGCGCTCCTGCCAAGGGTTCAGATCCCACATACAGACCAGTTCTTGCTCACTGGCTGAGCGAGGTGCGGGCGCAGCACCGAGGGTTGCGATCCCGTTGCCGGTCCCGGTCCGGTACGGGTGTGACACTGAGGGTTGCGATCCGTTGCCGGACACGAAAAAAGACAAAAAAGGAAAAAAAATAAAAATCTCCCTCTTCCTTAGCTCCTTTCCTTCAGCCCATATATAGCTTCTATTACCATGACATAGGTATGATGTCCATGAGTCATGCACTCTAGCTCTCCTTTCTTTCTTGATTACTGACTCTTCCGGCTTTTTCTCCTACCAATCTTGACTCTGCCTCCAACAATGTAGAACTATTCATGGGTCCCCAGACACACAAAGCCCTCAAATACCTCAGGACCTCATGCTGTTCCCCTTTCCTGAAATGCCCCAACTCCACCCTCTGTCCATGTCTGCAACCTGCTGCTCCTTCTCCATGTCTTGGGACAAGTGTGACTTCCCCTCCCGAGCCCTCCGTGAGTCCTGAGGCAGATGTGATGACCTTCTCCTGGGACCTCACTTGACGTGGCCCTTATCTCCTATAAAAGAGTTATCAGATGACACTGTAACAGGTTGTTTACATGTCTGCCCCCCCCGTGGACTGTGATCTCCGGGATGGCAGAAGACATGTCCTTTCACTGGGAACCCTTGTGGGCTGCATAGTACCTGACCAGAGCAAAGGTTCAATGACTGATTTCTGAGTGTGTGTTTTACACACTGAGGCCATGGAGATCTGAAGAGGAGAGTCATCCTCCCAACTCTTCCACTACACAACTGTGAGATGTCTATAGATTGTTTTTCCTTCCATATGGCAGTGTTCTTATTTATAAAGTAAAAGAGCTGGGTAATTCCAAGGTTGCAATCATCTTCATGCTTTAACCAAGCCTAACTGTGTCTTATTCTAATAATTTCTACATAGCGCCCATAACGAAATCTTTCATGAGCATTAAATCAATTGGGATACAAAAAGCAGATTTAAAAATCTGGGTAATTCCAAGGTTGCAATCATCTTCATGCTTTAACCAAGCCTAACTGTGTCTTATTCTAATAATTTCTACATAGCACCCATAACGAAATCTTTCATGAGCATTAAATCAATTGGGATACAAAAAGCAGATTTAAAAATATATTTATATAAATTCTACTACTTAATGTTTTTAAGTAAATGCAGACTTTATTTTAGGCATAGGGCAATGAGAATTTTCAATGGCTGGCTAAGTCCCTAGGGTGAAAGCAATGTGCAAACAAGAGAAATGCTTATTAAGTATGACATCCTGTCAAGAAGTTTCAGAGAAATCAGATCTAGAAATCCTAAATTGTCAGCAACCTTGTTCAGAATTCTGTCTAGTTAGAACTCTGAACTCTGGATCAGCTTAAAGACTCTCAGTGTTTGCAAAGTATTTTGTCTTAGTTAATAAGGAAAACATGATACGTAGGGTTAAGAGGGACACAGAAAGAGGGTACGGGAGAGGGACTAGGAGCCTCTAGATGAAAGACCTTAGCTAGAAATCTACATGCCTATCCAGTAGTATGTTCTGTGACTAACAGCTTGCTCAAGGCTCCGTGCCCAATAGCTGTAGAAGTCCACGGTGCCGACAGCAGTATTAATAGGCATGTCAGTAATCTGATACTTAGTGCATACTTGGTCTTCAGTAAAAATAAAAGCTATGCCTTAACTGCCAAGTCTTTTTGAGGAAGAAGGGGAAGATTTTACTTCATTATTGTATATTCTCCTCCATTACATCTTCTACTGTGATATCTCAAAAACTGTGGCAAGATTTAACTGTTCAAAATCTATAGCACTAGAGTGGCATGGCAGTAATCCTCATCTCTCCATTTTATGGATAAAGAGAGACATTGGGAGATTAAGTGTCTTCTTGGAAACCTCTCCCTAGGCTCACGTGTCATGGAATTTCCTGGTTCCCCTTCAGCTTCTGTGTTTGTTCCCTCATCCTTTCACTGGCTTCTTTCCAGATGCTCTGTGTGGTGTCCTTCAAAACGCTGCCCTTGGCGGCGCACTCCTTTGTCTTGTTCATACATTTTCATGTCTTCAGCTAACACTTTTGCTCTGATGACTCTCGAATACTAATTTCTACTAATTTCTTAATTAGTGAAACTAATTTCACACCCTATACTGACATAGGAACTATTCTGATACCAGCAGTATTCAGACAGCAGCACTATTCTCACATCAGCACTATACTGATAACACACTATGCAATGGTACTATATTTCTAATTTATCCATAGGATGCCTTGATCTGAATGTTCCTTCCATTATCACAACTCTATTTCTGTCTCCATTAATACAGTTTTACCAACTGCACCCTATTCAACCAGACTACCAGTCTATGGTTACAAACTCCTCTATGGCTCCTTGCTCTCCAACATCCAATGTCATTAGCACTTATTAATACACATTACCTTCAGACTTCTTTCTTCCTCTCCTTTGCCCTAATCATCCCTCTCATCCACCTATTTTACTAAAATTATCTTCTACAAGTTATGATTTCCAGTTTTTTCTAGTCCCAATCCACCATATTGCCATCAAAATTCCTCCAAATTCTATTTTATACTATTTTCCTCTCCAGACTCTGACAGTGTCTCTTACGGCCTGTTGTATCACGTCAAAGCTATTTTGTCTGGTTTCCAATGTCCCGCTGCCAGCATTCTCATGGACTAGACACCCATATCATTCACTTGCTTTGTCCCCTAACACTCTAGACTCATTTCACCTCTGTCCCTGCATTCAAGTTCTCCCTCAACTTGCAATGCCTTCTTCTTCATCATGACCCACCCCCTCGGGATCACCGCCTTCACACAGCCTTCTCTGAGTACCCACGTGCATCCTGTCGTTCTCATAGCAAGTACTACACTGTTGGGTTGTGTTTTGTTTTGTTTCATTTTTAAATTCTGTCTTATTGTGTCATATATAGCACTTTCATCTTACCAACCTGGTGACAAATCCTCAGGGGGAAGGATAAAAACTTCTTGTAGTACTTTTCTATCCTGCCAGGTATGCATGCACAATGAACTTTTCATAAAAACTATTGATCACTTGATAGAGGCCACACAACAATATTATGAATCCATTAGACATAGAACCCAAAATCTTGAAAGATAGGCAGGAGTTACCTACACACTAAAATCAGTACCATGTACCAGAAGGCTTCAAAATTTCTTATGCCTTCTTTATTTTCTAACCACCGCTATGGAAAGAAAAGATTATATCTGTGCAATATTTTAACCAATTACATGGAAAGTAAGATAAAAATATAAGGCTACTTCAAAAAGTTTATGGAAAATAGAATTAAAAGATAATATAAATCTTTCCATGAATTTTTTGAAGTAACCTCATATGTCCACTAAACTTGCAGGGGATCTTAAGTAAGAGGGAATAAAAATTAGACCTCAAAAGTTGAAGACACCATCAAGAGTATGCATAATTTCAGTTCGGAGCAAGATGGGATCCTAGGATCCATTGGAAATAAATCCCAATAAGTCTCAACTGGCTTGTTAAATCCCTACGAGTATAAGAGGTTCCAGGGGTATAGCTGTCAATTAAATGCCAAATAACTTGTCATTTTATAATACAGTGCTTTGCTGAAAACTGGAACAGCAGTCTTTGGATTTTCAATATGGCCTCCAGCAAGTCAAGGGGAGAAAGAAATGAAGTACCTCAAAGCAAGGGGAAGGGCTAGGCCTGAGTGGGGCTCTCTGTTGCTGCTGCTGGCTTCAACCCTAAGGACTCTATTAGGCCTTTTAGGCTCCTCTACTATACAGTTCTCAAGGTCTAGGACACTAAAATTCTGGCAAGTGGGACTGTTGATTGTTGAAAACTCTGAAATATCCTCTATGTACACCCATGGCAAGAGCTTTTTGTGGTATCAGAGCATGTTTCAACAAGTGCACCAGTCAACTCCCCCATGAAGGAAAAGGAAGATGCCACAATTCAGACTTGATGATTAGGATGGCAAAGCAAAGCCCTTGAATAATATTGTTTACTTAATAGATTTGGGAAGGTGGCTGTGACTCCATAGATGTTTTTAAAATGACACACCCTTGTCACAGAACAACTTCAGCCAGAGCCAAGGGGAAAGAAGGATTCACACTCCAATGGGAAGAACACTGTGCTAAGATCACAAGTCTGGGCTCTATCACCAGCTGCCTATGTGACCTTAGACTCAGGTTCATCACCATTAAGAAGAAGGGATTGAACTAAATTATATCTAATATGAAGTATAAATGATATTTAATTTAAACTAGACATCATAAATTATCATTGTTCTAGCTGTACTTCTCTGTAATAATGGCATTTAGTCTTTTTTAAAGAAGACTTGCAATAAACATGTGGACAGAAGCTTAGTTCAAGGTCCCCTGACTCTGCACTGCCAGGTGGTGCTGACTGCACTTCACTTACATCGCTGAGAGCTTTCTGGGCTTGGGCAACCCTCCTCAGTTCCGGGCTATCGTGATATGGGTAAAACAAACTTTTGTCTGCATCCCAGTCTTCAGTGTACAGTTTCTAAATCAGAAAAGAGTGAATAGTAATGAGAAAGGGAAACTGAATTTACATAAAATACATTATTTTGAATTCATCCCCCAATGGCATACACAACCAAGGTCAAGTTGAGAGCAAAGGTAAAAGAAATTCACAGATGATCTCCCCCTTTCCATCCAACCCAAGTCATTTTCATTAACAGCTCGTCCTGCTTCTCCTGATAAGTCTTATTTTCAGAGGGACCAATGTGCCTGATTTTGTTGCTTTTCCTCTCTGTGGCTTTACCTGCCCCTGCAGCAAGTGCTAACACAAGTGTAAGGAACCAGGAAACATTTCCCATATTTTCTGTCACAAAATGAACCTCTAGTAAGAGTGATATCCAGGGATATCCAAAGTGTAGCACAGGTCTACAGAAAAAATTTGAAATACTACTTTATAGATCTCTCAACTGGTTCTTAGCAGCATCTTCAGTCTCCCCATATGCATTCTCCCCAGGTTGTTCAGGGTCCCAAAGGACTCTCTCCTCCACGCTGCCCAACAGCTTTCCTTTCTGTTCCTTCTTGCCGAGCCCCACCCTTGTAGTCCCACATGTCTCAAGACTACTCACAAAAAGATTGGGGAACTGTATTCTTGATAATTAAGAGCTTGCCAGGTGTTGTTCTAAAGTATGTGGCAGGAAATTAGAAGTGGCGATGGAGCAGAGGCCTTACCTTACTGAACATGGCTGTGTTCTTAATGGCTTGGACAAGCTCAGGGGCATCAGGAGGAAGCAGGTACTTATCCTTGGTGTCTTCCCAGTTCTGCTTGTACAAAACCTAGACAGAAAGAGCAGAGGACCTATGGTTTGATGTCTCACCCCAGGGCATGAGGATTTAAATAATAAAGGGAGAGTTGGGGGAGGTGTCATCTCACAAAGGCGGATGGTGTGTTACTAGGAAAACATTGACTATGTCAATATCCTATAATACTTTTCCTACATTAGTAAGCTTTTACTTGAAAATTCTAATTTTTGAACTAAATCATGATTTTAATTTTCTATAGATTTATTTCAAAGGTCACAACCTATCAGTCATTGACTCAATTTGGCTGGCAGACATGTTTCTTTTGACTAGCATGGTATTTTAAAATGTTTTTAATTAGTTGCCTACATCTGAAATTTGGAAATTTCTCACAAAAATTCAGCTCCCCAACTTCTTTAAAAAAAAAATAAGAGACTCTGGTAGCACTGGGACTACATTCTGTGCAGCAACCATCTGGAGCTGAGTTGCAGCTTTCTCTTTGGGCAGATCATGGGCTCCCCAATCCACCCACAGCTCCTATGGGCCACTGCAGTAATCTGTGCAACCTTTCTGATGCATGTGGGCATTGAGTACACACTCAATGTGTCCAGGGGACACAAGAGTAGGATCAGGCCTGTCCAGTTTTCTCCTCTAAGACAAGGCAGAGGTCATGCAGATGCTATTTAGTCTCTCGGCCATCCATGCCATGGCCCTACCTTGCTGACTTGCTGTGACACTTTCTTTGCATGTTCAATATCCTTTGCTTTTTCATCTACGTGACAGATAGTTTTAGCAACATCGCCATCCATTCGATACTTCACCTGCAGAAATAACGCACAATTAGAGTTCATGACAGGCAAGAACATGCAATCTTATTAAAGAATATCTTATAACCAAAAAACATTAATCCAATGACTCCATGTCTGCACCATGACAGATAGTTTTAGCAACATCGCCATCCATTCGATACTTCACCTGCAGAAATAACGCACAATTAGAGTTCATGACAGGCAAGAACATGGAATCTTATTAAAGAATATCTTATAACCAAAAAACATTAATCCAATGACTCCATGTCTGCACCATAAAGTACAGTTTCTGCATTTTAGCTAGAAAACCGTGATCTTCAAAGATCCACAGAGCACCTGCATTTACTGCTTGTCTGCTGTCCTGGCTGAATTTCTAACCTTCTGCATCTTGGGCTCACTGTGCTGCAATGTAGAGGACCACAGTGAGTTGGAGCTTCCATCTCATAGTCTCTTCTGTAGCTAAATTGCTAAATCAAGTTTTTAGTCTTTGGGTTCACATTTACACCAACATAACCTATGGCCAACACTTTCTCTAGATTTCTGGACTAGCTCACAGTAATTGGGCTTCTTATTCTCTCTACACATATTCAGAGCCCTCAATCCCCAGTGGTAAGCATATTTTTGAAATGTCTCTCTCCTTTATTTTAGCAATGCAGCCCACCTCACTGAGTTGATCTTGTACTTTCTTAATTCTGCGAAGTTCTGGGGTATCGGTTGTGATGGCGTATGGCTTTCCTTTTGCTTTCTCAAACTTCTCCTTGTATTTATTCTGGAAAGAATATCAGATATTAGCCTGAAACCTAACAAGACAGCAACAGAAATTTCAGGCAATGCACTCAACACCATCTGATTGAAAAAAAAAATCATCAAAGTTATAATAATTATCAATTATAACCACTTTCTTTTTGTCCTCTACCCTGACTCTCAGCAAAAACTAAAATAGATTTGTTAATTGCTCTTCCTAAACATAGTCAAATCCTGGAGATGGTAGAAATTTATTACAGATTATTGTTTTAGAAATGCCCTAAAATGATTCTTTTAAAGTTTTTTTTTTCTGTCTGAATACAGGAATAAAAAGACTGAGCCTCAATAATTTTAGAAAATAAACATAGAAATTGAGATAAGTTTGAAAAGATTTGATTGCTAATATAATGCAAAAATATTCAATTCAGGAGTTGCAACTAAACCTCAGTGGTTTGAATAGCTGAAACATCAGCTGAATTAATGGGAAGTCTGAATTATGGAGTATTTTGTAAAGAAATGTAATTTTATCATTTCTGCTAAATACACAATGAATTCTTACATTAATAATAATGTGCATAATTTATCATTATTAATGCTTCAAAAGTACTCTTGAGGGGAGTAGTCAACAATCTAAATTATACTATTGATTTAGTTACTAACCACTTTAAAAATATTATAGACCTTTGCCAACATTCTACTCAGAATATCAGAAATGTTAGTTTCATAGCTTCTGAATTAATGAGATTTTATGGCAATAAATTGACCAAAAAAAAAATTTATCTTTGCCTAATACTGCAGTGATAAAAGAGGCAAGAAAATCCTGTTTTCAGAAAACTAAGTCTTGGGTCATTCAAGGATCTGAACTAGAAATTTACCAAGTAGTCTCCAGGAGTTAACATTTAACCAAAAATGATTATTTATTGGTTCACCACACATATGCTTTTGACAGACTTTAGTCCTATATAATCCAATGTACCCCTGAGTAATATTTCATTTTTTCAAGCCTCCAGAGGATGTGTAATCAAGCCATCTCATGAGACCTCAGCCCATCAGGGACAATCAACAAATTAGATCCACTGAAATGGTGCTAAATCTGCTGCTAATCAATGTAACTTAGAGAACTATCCATGGTAACTTAGGGACCAGGGACTACTGGGAGCAGCGATTTTCAAACTGGTCTAAACATTGGAATCACCTGGGCAGCTTTTAAAAATCCTGCACAGACTGCAACCCCAGACCAAACAAACTAGAGTGGCCAGAGCATCAGTAGTTTTAAAGCTTCCAGAGGATTCCAGTGTGCAGCCATGGTTAAAAACCACTGTTTTGGCATACAGTAGAACATTCTGATCCTCAATTTCAAGTGAGTTCTCAGTCGGACCTTGGTTTTCTAAACAACATATTCTTCACCTCTTAGAGATGTTTTTACATACTGTTAGCTAGTCTACTTAAGAGGCTATTCTGCTCAGACTTAGTTTAAATATATGTTATTTAGCTTCCATGAACTGTCCTCAATTCTGTATTTATGATTTCATTATTCTAGCTTGGCTAACTAAGAGTGATTAAATATCAATAAATGCTTTACAATTGGCCTTATTGAAAATAATTTCAATAAGGATACTTTTCATGATGCTACAATGCTGCAAATAAGTCACATGAAAGGAAAATTCAAGAGTCACAAGAAGAGAGCTTATATTTCTGCAAATAAGTTTTTGTTTCATACAAGGTTGGAAAACAAAATTCAGCCAGCATACAAAACAGAGTTGGTTGAGATCAGTAATTTCTGAATGATAAAAGCAGGCTAGCAAAAGTTGTTTGAAACTTACAGGACTAAAAATATTCTGCATTTTCTGACTGTGTTCAATGTAGGGGGTCATGAACTTTGAAGAGTCCACTTTTTTCCGAATGACCTTCTTCCTCTCCACTGGCTTTTCCAGTACTGGCTGTGCCAATGCTGGTTTGTAAGTTTCTGGTTGCTCATAGTCAGATGTTGTCCTTGTTGTCGTAGTTTCATAGATTTCTGTTATTGTCTGAAAATTAGACATGCAGTTCAACATTGTTATGAAAGTGAAAACTGTGGTCCCATGATGTTGTTACATAGTATTCTAATTTCAAGTCAGATTTACATTCCTGGTGTTATTTCTTCATACCTGAAACAGGCCAAAGCAAGAAACCAGTGCTATATCCATAGGAAGGCACATTATGTTACATAAATAAATCTGAATGCTGATTGTTAAGAGATCGTGTGGAGTAAAAACGCTACTCCTTATGAATTTGCAACATTGCCTTAAAATTGCATTTGCAGAAAGACACTCAAATACTTCGAGGTAGGATAAAAACCAAAAATAAAATACTCTCAGACATTTGAAAATCTTCTCAAATTGTCTGGGTAAAGCAAAAGCAAACTTGAGATTGTGGAATGAAAGGCTAAGACAATGAAAACTCAAATTCTTGACTTTAATATTAATTCTCGAGTGACTAAGAAAAAAATCGGTTGCTTGATCTGCAGGCATTTAGGCATTCTCTACCCTAGTGTGAGAAAAAGAAATTGTCTGGGTAAAGCAAAAGCAAACTTGAAATTGTGGAATGAAAGGCTAAGACAATGAAAACTCAAATTCTTGACTTTAATATTAATTCTCGAGTGACTAAGAAAAAATCGGTTGCTTGATCTGCAGGCATTTAGGCATTCTCTACCCTAGTGTGAGAAAAAGAAGAAACTTTTAAAAATAAACTTAAAAAAAAATGAATCACATCAATGTTGTAAGTGATTAACATTCTCTTGGCTTAGTCAGTTAATTAATGTGAACTGGAATGCCATTCACACTAATAAATGCTTAGGTGGACAAGAATAATGATGACAACATAATGGGGTAATTATCCTCACAACAGTCTTATCTATCTAGTAGGTGGGAAATTACCATTTCTTACAATAGGCAGTAGTGGAGGAAACTAAGACTTAAAGTTTGGGTCTAAACCAAGGTTAAAAATATAGTATGTAAGAAAAAAAGATAAGTAGCCAAGTCTTCAATCCACCTCACAGGATCGTTTCCTCAACCAAAGGAAGAGCTCCAGCAATAATTATGAAAAGAGAAATGTAATAAGAAAATTGTACGTCTATGAAAACTCTCCTTAGTGTTGTCAGATCATTGCTAACAGGTTGCTTTCTGTACTTATTACTAATGCATGGTGGACCATGAGAAATTAACCAGTTGACAGCATCAACAGATGTTAGTTTTCATGCAGTCACAGGCTCTCTGAGCAGGCTTCAGGGTTAGCCATCCATATCACTGTTCGTCATGCTCAAAGAGAAACAGCTCCATGCAGAAAATGAAGCATGACAGAGGTATTTCACTGTGAAAAAAAAAAGTTCTAACTTGGAATATTTATGGGAATGGCTTTCTCAGAATTCCTAATGTACTAAAATCTGAGTAGCATTTTATTGCATCATCAAGCAACAAAGCCTTGGAGGCCCCACCCATGGTGGCAGAGATAGTATCCTACACTTCACAATTCTGCATAATGAAACTGTTGGTCCAGTTCCAATCACAAGACAAGGCCATCCCTCTTGCTGTAGTCAGAGAACGATGATAGCCACCAACATCACTCTAATTTCGTGTAGCATCATCTACACAAAAACACCACGTGAGCAGTGGGGAAACCATCTCCGACCATCTTGAATATGTTGAATAGCAATAAGAGTGAAATGATCTGTCAAACAGGTAATGTTTATTCTTTTACCACCAGCTTGGGGCACATGTAGGGGAGCGATCCTCCCTCAGATAATCCCTTTAGCCATCTTTGTGGCCCTGGGAGCCGAGAGAGGAGAAGGCCCTTCGTGAGCTAGTGAGAATGCAGTTCATGCAGTTGTGGGCTAGGCCTTACCTCTCCTGGCACCTCTTCGTAAATTGTCTCCTCCGTGTAGTACTAGAAATAGAACACAAAGGCATCCTCATGAGAACCGAAGCAGACATGACGTCTCCTCTGCCCCAGCTGAACCGCTTAGGTTACCTCACTAGCTCAACTGGTTTGGAACGTCTGTGGGAAGCGACTAGGTGAGGAAGCCTGTTCATATTTTGGGACCCATTTTTCCCTTGTGAAACTTCAGGAAAGCCAGAGCTGATGTGATGCCATCAGACTGGACAATTTGGAACGTCTGTGGGAAGCGACTAGGTGAGGAAGCCTGTTCATATTTTGGGATCCATTTTTCCCTTGTGAAACTTCAGGAAAGCCAGAGCTGATGTGATGCCATCAGACTGGACAGAGAGATGCAGCGAGATGAGAAGGGTGTCTGAGGCTGGTTTCTAATCACGAGCAGCTATTTTACTGGGACAAGTCAAATGTTTTTCTTATGGTACCCAAAATAGAATTTGCGGAGAAAAGAATACAATAACGAGATCCTGAGTGTGTGGGTTGGGCAGGGAGGACTGTGATGAAACCCACTGTTTACTAACAATAAAACACAACAGAAACCCCAGTGTGAATACATTTTTTAATATGGATTGTATTATGGAAATAATAAGATCCAGAAGCATATTCACATCTCAGTTATTCTTAAGGGCCCTGATTAGTAAGTGGTCAGCGTCTTCTGGAGGGACAGGGAATCCTTTACAGTAGCGCGATGGTCCCAAACAGGGCGCTGAGATGAACACTCATAAATGCCAATGGAGGAAGGAAAAAGAAGGAAATCCCTCATCACAGAATGTGGAAAAGTGAGGCTGCAGTTTGCCACTGATGGCTCCAAGGTGAGTGCAGCCTGGGTCTGAAGCCGAGTCTACTTTTGTTCTACTTCTGACCTCACCAGCAATAAATAGACTCAGATAGGAACTGGCTGACATTTTGTTTCAGCTGCGTAAGGAGAGTGGAATCCTGCCCCGGCCTCACCCAGCACTGGGTGAACAGAAGGAAAGGCTTCTTTAGGCCAAGGCACACAAAGAAAGGGGTAAAAACAAAACATTTGGCTCATTTCTCCATCACCAAAATACATAACATTTTGTGCTTCATTTTTCTTATCTCTTGACAACAAAATATATACAAGGGGGGAAGAGAAGAACGCTGGTATGCAAAATTCGCTCCATAGCCTTTCTTCTGTCCTTGGTTCAGAGGCCTCCCTTCAAATCATTTAATCTTCATCAATAGGCCACCTGCTCTATTTCACCCGCAGTAACAAGTGGATAAAACTTACCTAATGTCCCTCACTCCTGTGTCTTCTTTGTTCTTGTGCTATTGTCGAAATTTAAAATCTAATTCAGTCTGAATGTCCTTACACATAACAACAGAAATCACAAACCCTTGCAGGACAGACTGCTCTTTCACACTTGTGACTTCAACACATGAGAAATACCACTTGGACATTTGAGGAAATATTGTTTGTTGCTGATGCCACATGGAGCCTTTCTCTGGTCACACAAAGCAGCAGTGACTTGAAAAGAAGTATTAAGCTGAAATGAATGATTAACAACTACTTCAGATCTTCTTAGCACCCAAGTAAAAGCAGCTCTTTGGAAGCCATCCAATTTTACCTTTGCTGGGCTCTCACCATTGGTAAATATATCTTAAAAATAGACTTATAAAAAAAGGCAACATTATCCAAATGGTTGGCATTAACTTGTATGCCAAGTCTCACTTTTTTTTAGAGCTGTGCCACTAATTAGATAGTACATCCTTGCTGCTTTCTCTTTCTTTCCAAGTTTAAGTTTGAGTAGAGAGTGACAGTAAAGTCTTATTTCAGATGTCCAAGATTCCTAGGAGATATATTTTTAAAGCTACTTCCTCTCTGTTTTCTGAACGCTTCCCTGACCATTTTCTTGAATCTGCCACCATCCCATTCTCATGATCTTTTTTGAGGTCAAAGAGAACTTGGTTCAATACTCTGTGGCAGGCAGTCTATTAGTTTAGCCCTTGCTAGTCAGACCCAGAAGCAGTAATAGGAACAAAATGGCAAGGATGGGATGCCTAAAAATAGCCTCCTGTATTTTTATGACATCTAGTTAAATCAATCAGCTCTAGCACCAAGGACAATTACTGGGACAAATGAACACTATTATCTTAAGAAAGACAAAGGATATTTAAATTGGAGGCTAAAAAGTGTTCCTAGTATTATCATAGGGAAGACAATTAAATTTATAATTATGTTAGAGCTTGATAGTGATTATTCTGACTCCGAGGGACATAAGTAAAATGCACACAAGTGATAACATGGAACATTGAAGATATGGCCATTGGCATTTAAGCCAAAGAGGTTGAATGTTATATTGTATAAGATTCATTGTTTAGTTTCCATGTCCTTCAGTAATAAGGCAATTTTATTTGTAGAATAAAATAGAATTTTCTTCATCTAAATATAGACTGGTTACTCAAATAATTTTCCAAAGACAAATTTTGGCAATTTCAGCTAAATTTGGTTCTGGGTAAGTCTTATAGTTAATTTCAGTCTTAGTAAAAAGCACAGATTTTTCAAAGCCTAAGGCACTTGGAGGTTTTCATACGTTTAGATCATCATCATTCATTGGTAATTATTAAGCACTTTCAGATTCATGGAACTGCATTTATATGGATTATAGTCCCAAATCTTTAGATTTTATTTCTAGAATGTGAAGCTAAAGGCAAGAGTTGGTGAGGAAAAACCATAATATGATAAAAACAAAGTGATGTAAAATAAATATACAACAAGCAATTAACAACTTTATAAAATGTGTCAGATGCCCACCAATAATCAGGAGGAAATTTTTTAAGATACGCACTACGGTCGTTGTTCTAATTCAAAATTCAAAAGCAAAAGCTAGTCTTGTTCACTTCATAAATATAACGGAGTTGATGGGGAAGCGGCTCCAACTGTGGCTCTTGACCTTCATAAGTTTATTTATATGTGTGTGTGTGTCTGTGTGAATGCATGCACATATACATACATGTAAAATCTCGTATATGTGTATAATCTCAAATTTATGATTATTCTGATATTCTGAATATTTAGCCCACATTGCCCTACAGATAATAGACTAGTTGAAGCAAAGAGTAAGGAGACCGTTCTATTGCTCTATGGCTATGCAGACACCAAGAAACAGAGTTCAGTTTTCAGAACTTTCTCCTCATGGCCCCTGTTCCTTTGATCACCAAGTTTGGGGAAGAAAATAGTTTCAGAAGACAAATTGAAACCCTCCTTCACCCCACACTTTGTGTTTTTGAGAGTTTAAAGAAAAGAAAAAGTGGGAAACAGTGATATTTTCTTTCAGTTTTCAATCCCACATAATTACAGTGAAACTGAACATAAAATATCCCTTTCTTGTGCTTTAATGATGACTCTTTGTGAGGTTATAATAGACATTGTATTTTTCGAATGATTAATTCACCTACACGGCTTTGATTGTCACTACATAAAATACTTTGCTGTCACAGGTTTGTTTTTTTTTTAAATCTTACCTCCACCACCTCCTCATATTCTTCGTCATCTGCCATTTTCCCAGAGTAGTAGTGGCACCTACAAACTTTTCATATTCCATACAAATAAAAATACGTTAGACTGTATCCCCAGGACAGAAATCATCTTATTACAAAAACAGAATTTAAAACTAATGTATTCTACATATTCATGTATTTTTGCAGGCTAAGGAAGAGAAGACATTTAAAGTACAGGTCTAAGCAGTGGAGCTTTAAATTTCTTTTTCCTTATTCACTCAGCAATGGATTGAGTATTGCTACATCCACGTGATCAATTTAGTTAAAGTTGTAAAAGTAAATTAAGGTTAGGGGAGTGAGGGAGTTCATACTCAAGGAACAGAGAATTTAAATTTCCAAACATTTGGAGAAAAAAAAACATTTTCAAGCCAAAATTTTAGTGAAAGGAAGGCCAGCTTGGCTTTCAGAAGAAGTTGGAATTTTCCCCACAGCACCAAAATTCTAAGAGGGCTGACTTAGTTCTCTTTACTGCTCTAAACATGCTGTATGAGTACATCTTATGCTTCAAATTAGAACACATAAAAAGAAATCTGTGTATAGATTTTAAAAGAAAAATAGATACCTCAAGGCAATGGGGTTATTTTCTTCCCGAACACCATTGGCTGTTACGGGTTTTTCCTGTCTTTTCTGTAGCTCTCTCTCAAACCTGAAAAATAACAACGTTTGAAAGCATTGGCTGAAGCACATATACGATTGTAGGTCCTTGGACTAAGCTTCTAATTCAGGAACTAATGAAAGTATCTCTCAGGCCCTTTCACTTTGATGCCAGAGAGTGCGACTCTTGATGCAAGTTGATGATGACTTGGAGCAGCTGTCCCTTTGCCCAAAGATGTTTGCCATGTAAACCAATACCCCGCAGTGGCTGGTTTTGTTAAGCTAGCAAAACTGCCACTCCTTCTGAGCGAATGAAGCCCAGTAAAACAGGATAAATATAGGAACGGAGAACATAGATCCTTTTTCATACAAATATATTTAGGGAGAAAATCAAAGAGAAAAAAAAATTGTTAGACAAGAGCTCCAACTCAGTCAAGCAATAACTGGTTAGTACAGGACGTGACTCTAATTGCACACTCTACATGTCAGGTATTAGTAGGGCCTTAGCAGGGCAATAGGGTTACAGACTTTCCTAGCCACATTTCTGTCACTGATTTCCCCAGTTATGACCCAAAACTTTGAAAAACACTTCAAGGGAAGCTGTGGAACATCTCCTGAAAGAATATTACAGAAAAAGCTATAAACTGGCCTTACCTTCAATTTATCAAATAAATTTCGTCAGCAGCAAAGCCTCTCTCAACTCTCCCCTCCTGAGAACCCCAGGCAAGAGCCAGCGTGGTGCCTGGGCTCTGAATTATCATGTGGCAAGAACAGCCAATCAGATCTTGGGTTGCTCAAATTTCAGAAGCTAAATATATTGAGTGATCTTCTGAAAACCACCTGTTCATCAATTCCACTAAAGGATAAAGGGTAACAAATTGCTTGCTTAGAACTATTCCAGTGTAATGGAATTTTACCTAACTTCCAGCCTTTGGGGTTCAAATTTAGGTTTAATTTCTCATTTACTGTAGCCTCGTTCAATACCATATTCATGCAAAAAAATTTTAGGAAAATGTAAGCATGACTGTGAGAGGCTTTGACATTTCCATAGCTGCTTTCTTCACGTCATTTGTCCAGGCTACATGGATGTAAACATACTCACCCTCATAAGGCTCAGCAGGTGAGCTACAGGTAAGTTACTGGCATTTATGTAGAGAAATTGAGGAATAACATGCAGAAAACATCAGGTTGGCAAAAGCAACTTTTAAAAATGTGATGAATGAAGTTATAGGTGAAAATGATGGTGATACTAGATAAGATATCTACAGGGTATAATTAGAGAAATTAGGCCCCATCCTATTTCTGTTACTAACTGGGAAGGGGAAGTGTTCGGCAGGGGGGCGTGGGGGGTGGGGGGCATGCCAACACCATATTCATTATCTTCTCCCTCCCTAGGTAAAGCTAGCTGCAGGGGATACAGCACCTCTCTCATATGTAACTGGGTTACTGACTTCCTATTAACTCAGATGACTCCTGGCTCCTGCAAGTAAAGTGTGAATGCAGGCACAGAAAGGCTCAATTTCTGAACAGCAAGAACAGATAAAATGGAAATCAGTTAATTACTGGGAGAAAACAATGCCCTTATTAGGCAAGTCAGAGCCTAAGACATTTTCTTTGTCAAAATTATCTAACAATTTTCTAAAAACTTGCCAGATATCCCTCATGCTTGCACTTCCTTTGCTCCTGAACTATTATTTTTAATTCAAAATCTAATTCTGTCCGTATGTCTCTATGTCCTTACACACAGTGACAGAAATCACAAGCTCTTGCAGGGTAGAGAATTGATTTGTATTGAGGCAAAAGCCCTGTAGACCACTCACATCTTGATATGGACTTGAGACTAAACGTATTGTAATAGTTCTTTTAAAATCAAGTGTTAGAAAGTACTTTCATATTTTAAACATATGTACCTCTCCCCTTTCCATGACTCATATGGTGGTAAATAAAATTTAACGTCGTTTTATCATCTTAACTAATTATGCTTGTTCATCCTGTATGTTCTCACAGGTCTTATGACCAAGGGATATGTGTGTAATATGAGGTCATTCATTTGGTAGTTGCAAACTAGAAGAATTGTGACTGACTATTCATTACATGCTTTAAAAGTTATTAAACAATAATAGAGGCCCATTTAAAAAAATATAGCACAAAACTATGTAAAGATAAAATAATGTAGATCTTCTTAAAAGTAGACCTTCTACCTTTAAGGTAGTAATTGTCAGGTTTCAGATATTGACATAAATTTGTGTATTTGACAATATGTAATGGGTATCTTTTATGAAACTTCACACAGATACATCCTACTCTAATTTCTACAAATAATTCTATTGAATGTATATAGTATACAGTAGTCCCCCTTTATCTGAGGTTTCTCTTTCTGTGGTTTCAACTACCCTCGGTCTGAAAATGTTAGATAGAAAATTCCAGAAATAATTCATAGGTTTTAAATGTGGGCTGTTTTGAGTAGCAAGATGAAATCTCAAAACATCCGGCTCTGTTCCATCCAGTATGTGAATCATTCCTTTGTCCAACATATACACACTGTAGATGCTACCTGCCCAGTGGTCACTTAGCAGCCCTCTCAGTCATCAGATCCACTGTCATGGTATCACAGAGCTTGTGTTCCTTATTCTACTTAATAGTGGTCCCAAAGAGCAAGAATAGCGATACTGGCATATTATTGCAATTGTTCTATTTTATTAGTATTGTGCCTAATTTTTTAATTGTGCCTAATGATTTATAGAAAAAACAGTACACATAGGATTTGGTACTATCCTCGATTTCAGGCATCCACTGGAAAATATCTACCATGGAAGAGGGAAGACTACTGTAATTTGTTTAATGATTACTTTATTCATGGACATTTAGGTTGTTTCAAGTTTTTTGCTATTGCAAAATAGAACAAAACAACACAAAACAAATCACACAGTAAGTTTCCGTGTGCATTATCTTTGCATACTTGTATGAAATATACTTGTAAGGTAAATTTCTAGAAGTAGAATTACTGAGGTGCAGGATCTATTCATATGCACATTTTAAAAATTGCTAGATATTATTAGGTTGCCATCCAAAATAGTTGCACTAATTTACATTTCACCAACAGAGAATAAATTCCTGTGTGCACACATCTCGATAGCTTTAAGGGTTATCAGCCTTGTAAAATCTGTACAATCTGATGGGAAAATAGTTACTCTTCTGTTGTGGTCTGAATGTTTGTGTTCTTCCAAAATTCATATGTTGAAATCGTGTTCCCCAATGTGATGTATTAGGAGGTAGGGCCTTTGGAAGGTGATTAGGTCATAATAGTGGAGCCCTCATGAATGGCATCAGAGCCATTATTAAAAAGGACCCAGAGAGCTGCCTTGCCCTCTTTCCACCATGTGAGGTTACAAGGAGAAGGTGGTGATCTGCAACCCAGAAGAGGGTACTCATGAGAACCCAGCTATACTGGCACTCTGATCTTGGACTTCCAGTCTCCAGAACTGTGAAAAGTAAATTTTTTTTTTTGTCTTTTGTCTTTTTCCGTGTCCGGCAACGGATTGCAACCCTCAGTGTCGAGAACCCAACTATACTGGCACTCTGATCTTGGACTTCCAGTCTCCAGAACTGTGAAAAGTAAATTTTTTTTTTTTTTTTGTCTTTTGTCTTTTTCCGTGTCCGGCAACGGATCGCAACC